GGCCCCCGTGTTGCTGTTTCCCCCCCCCCCCCCCCAAAAATATCTTCAGCCCAAGGGGCAGAAAAAGAAGAAGATTGTGAAGTATGGCATGGGGGGCCTCATCATCCTCTTCCTCGTGGCCATCATCTGGTTCCCACTGCTCTTCATGTCGCTGGTGCGCTCCGTGGTGGGCGTTGTGAACCACCCCATCGATGTCACTGTCGCCCTCAAACTGGGGGGATATGAGGTAGGGATGCAGGGGGGGACAGTGCCAGGGGTTCCCTGCCTGGACACTGGTGTCCCCTGCCCCTCTGATGGCACCCTGTTCCCCCCTGCAGCCACTGTTCACCATGAGTGCCCAGCAACCATCCATCCAGCCCTTCACCCCCCAGGACTACGAAGACCTCACTGAGCAGTTTGAAAGGGACCCGGTAAGTCCCCCTTCCCTAAAACCTGCTCCATCCCTCTTTGTGGGGGGCTGGCAGAACCGGAGGGGGTCCCCCACTAGGGTCGGGGTGTCCTTGTGTGGGGGCTGAGCCCTGTCCCACCCCCGGTGCCAGGTGGCCATGCAGTTCATCACGCTGTACGGCTACGAGGACATCGTGACCGCGCGCATCGAGGGCAGCTCGGGCGCTCTCTGGAGCATCAGCCCCCCCAGCCGGGAGCAGATGCAGCGGGAGCTGCTGACCGGCTCCTCCGACGTCACCCTCCGCTTCACCTGGACCTTACAGAGGTACCACCAGCACGGGGGGGGTGGGGGTAGCCCTGCCTGCACCCTTCCCCGCACACACACACCCCAGTTGCTCAGCCCCTTCTGCCCGCAGGGACCTGGGCAAGGGGGGGACAGTGGAGAACACCTTCAGCAAGCACAGCACCAACCTGGAGCCCGGCGCCCCGCAACGCTTGCAGCTGGCCCAGCTGCTCCAGGGCACCCGTGACGCCCCTGTGTGAGTGTCCCCGGGGAGGGAACAGGGGGGTGAACCCCCCCCTTATGCTCCTGAGGGTGGTGACCCCTCTGCTCACCCTGCTGTCTTGCAGGCAAGTGCCCAGACTCTTCCCCAAATACATCCGGGCACCCAACAACCCTGAAGCTGACCCTGTCAAGCAGCTGCTGCCAGGTGGGTCCCACCATCTTCCCCCCCACCCCCCAGAAAAAGTAAATCAGAGTGGGGGGGCCCAGTGGTGGCCATGCCGTGCTCTGAGGGTGCCACCCCCTCCCCCTGCAGAGGGTGAGGACAGCTACCTGGACGTGGAGGTGCAGCTGAAACGGGAGCGGGCGAGCGCCGACAGGTTCTTGGAGTGGTGGGGGGGGGGGGCCGGAGG